AAGCTGCTCCAAGTCAAGCAGGCACCAGCATTGACTCTCCAAACGGCGCTGCAAGTCAAGATCAAGACCAGGACATGCTTCCTGCTCCTCCTCCACACCCGAACCTCAAGCAGCCCAAGCTATTCGTGTCTGGTCTGGATCCCAGCCTGTCAGACAAGGACATCGTTGGCAGCGTCTTTGAAAAGTACCTTCCTGTTCGGTCAGTCTGGCTCGCCGCTTGCACGCCCACTGTCGCGCCAAATAGCTCACCCTCCGCCTCTTTCTCCTCGCTCCCACCAGCTTGCGTCTTGATCGCGAAAGCGCCGAAGCTCAAGGCACGCCTGCCAGCGGCACTGTCGAGTTTCAGTCTCTGACATCAGGTGAGCGATCGCTGCTGCCACCCATGTGCGTGTCCAATCACCACTACGCAGGCTGATGAATGCGCGCATCTCACACATCCTTGCAGCGGAAAAAGCTTTGGCGACTATTCGGGGAGGAGTGCGCCTCAGCACCAGCGAGCAAGCAGAGGATCCTGTCAGCGGCAGCAAATCCAAGCCACGCCTCATCAAGCAGCTTCCACCTGGCACAGAAGATGTGGACGTGTACGACTTGTTCCGACCCTACGGTCCTCTGGTCAGAGCCAATCGCATCCTCACAAATCCAGCTGGTCAGCACACCGGCTTCAGAGGCATGGCCCTGGTGGAGTACTTTGAAGAGGAGCACGCGCAGGCTGCACAGAACGAGCTCCACTGCACAGACTATCAAGGCAAGACCATCTCCGTCGCCATCGACAATGTCGCTCGCAGGCCCAGCGCAGCCAACCAGCACGCATTCAGTCCCTCCGCAGCAGTCTTTGTTCCCGGCGGTGGTGGCAGCTTCAACGCGTCAGCACCGGCGTTCAGGCCGCCAGGGCACACCAACAACGGTTCTGGCTCTTCCATCTACGCATCGCAGCCAGCCCCACCTCAGTTGAATCAGCAGCAAGTGGGTCCCATCATTCCCGTTCCTGGCACGAATTTGCAGTACAGCGCTTCAGCTGCTACGTACATCGATCCTTGCAACCTCTTCTGCAAGAACTTGGATCCGGAAATCGACTCCAACGACTTGTTTAACGCTTTCAAGTCGTTCGGCAAGATCGTCTCTGCCAGGGTCATGAGGGACGATAGCGGGGTAAGCAGGGAATTTGGCTTCGTCAGTTACACCAACGCCGACGATGCGAGTAGAGCATTGCACGCAATGAACAACACTCAAATGGGCGCAAAGCAGATGAGCGTCAGGCTGCATGAACCCAAGCGGATGCGGGAGCAAAAATTGGCAGCCAAGTTCGGTGGCGCATCGGCAGACAGCCCACCTATCAGCGCGGGTGGAGCAGCCTCGGAAACGAATGGCAGTCCAAGCGGTACGCCTCAAGTGGAGCACGCGGCTGCTGTCAAGAACGCAAACAAGAGGCAAAGTAACAGCTACTTCAAAGCTGCCATGGAGAACTCTGGAACGACTTTGGATCACGGCGAGCTGGCTGCTATGAGCCCTGCTGTCCGCAACGAGGTGGTGGCTGGAGAGTTCACAAGAAGAGTCAAGGAACTGCCCACTGTCAAACCCAGTCAAGTCCAGGACATCGTTCTCGAACTGCTAAAGCTCAAGCTTTCCGAGCAGGTCGAAGCTCTGAACAATCCCATTGAGCTGATCCAGCGCGTCAGCGATGCACGCGACGTGCTGCCCCCTTCACCAGTCCAGTCAAAATCTGCGCAACCTTCCGGCCTATTGGGTGTGCCTATCAACCCTTCTGGCAGCCTGGCCGGCACAGACGGCGCGAGCTTCGTCTCGACAGCACCCGCATCGGCCAAGGAGCGAGAGCGCTTGCTGAGAGCAGTCACCAACTCCGTGCCCAGTGGAAGTCCAGTCGAGGACATCACAGACATGCTCGTCAGCCTCAACAAAAAGGAGCGAGCTCTGTGTCTTTTCAATCCTGAGTTTTTGAAACAAAAAGTCGAGGAGGCCAAGGAGATTTTGGACATTTCGGAGGCCGATTCGGACGAGGGTCCCGCTGGATCCATCGCATCTGGTGCAGCTGCCGCTACTACTGGAGGCGGCAAGACGAGGATCACATCCGCAGCACTCGCAGCGGTTTCGGAGGCCGGCGTGTCTTCTTCAGAGGTCGCCGCATCTGCCCAAACGCACACTCTGGCTAGTCTGGCACGCTTGCCTGCCATCGAGATCGTCCGTCTGGCCACATCGCCAAACTCGTCTGGATCAGCTGGGCTGCCTTTGCCCAAGGCGGACGCATCCGTCTCCCAGTCGACCAACGCGTTCATTGATTCTTTGAGCAGCAAGTCGCCGCAAGACCAGAAGCAAGCAGTTGGAGAACAGCTCTACAAAAAGGTCAAGAGCTTCGGCGTGAAGGGAGCGCCCAAAATCACCATCACCTTGCTGGATTCCGAGGATCTTCGATCTCTGGCCCATCTCATGAACTCCTACCCAGAAGTTCTGAGAGAAAAAGTTCTGCTCACTCCGGCCAAGTAGAGGTCCCATCTGACAGTTGTCGATTCGTACGCTCCCCAATGCGACCCTGCTGAGCCTCTTCAAAATACCCTTTTGCATTCTTTCTCGCCCCACCAACTTGGCGACGGTCGCGATCGCACCCGTCTCGCCCTTCACGATCTTTTGTCAATCCGTTCCCCATCGTTCTCGTCTGTCCCGGCAATCGGCGACTCCTGTTGCGAGGCTTGACCCCATCATTCACTTCGGTGCCCTATCAAGCCGTCCGATGTGAAATGACACACATTGTCACGCGCTGCTTGTTTGGGAATGCCCAACGGGAGGCGACGGATTAAACATGTGATTGAGCATGTTGTGATGGAAAAGGCCACCTTGTCTCGTGAGGAGCTCCTTGGTCCTGTGCGCAGCGAAAGCCGAGGAGACAACGTCAGTGCAGAAAGCCAGGAGCGAAGCGCGAAAGAATCGCTTGGGGGACTGCTTCCACTTGCGTCCGAGACCGCCGTCACAGTGCTGACAGGTCTCAAAGCACTCACATCGATGTGGAAGCGAATCCAAGTCTTCCAGCTTGCTATCATTCGCTCGTCTCGTGGATGTGTAGCCTCGTCGGCATTAAGATCCCCGTCAGGTGCCTCTGTTTTGATGGCTGATGAAGTCGACGCCGACGCAAGTGCGGTAGCATGCGACGCCGCACGACCTGTCAGCTGCGCAAACCTGTTTCCAAGCGGATGCGATGAGCAAAGCGATGAAGCACGAATCTGCATGGCAAGCCAGGCCAAATCCCCTCTTGCTACACTCACGTCTGGTAATCTGGCCCAGCACGGAATAGCGTGACTCGGCTCGTCTCTTCGCCCAAGATGCTTCCCCGCTCGCCAAAGGCCCACGCAGCTTCTTCATCGGTTGTCGCAACCACTTCGCAAGGTCCTTCGCCATCATCCTCGTGCTCGTACCGCACGACTGGTCGAACGACTTGAGGTACGAGTCGAGCTGTAGCTTCGTGGTTCCGGAAATTGCTGACTTCGCCAGCATTGCCGAACAATTTGACGGTCATTTGATTCGAGACGACCACGCATATGCCTCTTGATCGTGATCGCTCTGCGAATTGCGCGATGCGAGACAGCGCGTGGGAGCGAATGGATCGATCGGCGGCAGTCTCGCCTTGCGGCCCTCTGAGGTGGTATGAGATCGAGTCGATGAGAATCAAGCGCACTCGAGCGGGCAGATGGCTCGAGTGCTCGTCCGGCGGCATGTCACCATCCTCGTCCGTTGATTCGAAGTGCCGAGTGGGAAAAGCGAGGTGGATGTGCGCAAGTAGCGAAGCTAATGTGGGCACCCTCGAGTGGTGGACACCTACGAGTACTGCCTTGACGAGCATTCGCGACGCCTGACCGCCAGTTGCACAGGGGCCCGACCTGTGCAGATCGGCCAGCGTATTCACGGCGTGAGTACTGTTGCAGCATACCAACAAAGGGTCGTCGCCCGCATCCAGTGCGGCGATTTGCGATCTGGCTGCCTGCAGAATCCGCGATGGCGGCAGACTGCCCTCCGTGTCTGCATGAGGTGGAGCTTGGCAGGCAGATGAGTCAAGGTGGAGATGGCATGATCCTCCTTCAAGCACTCACCCATGACAAGTACGCTCTCGGCTTTTTCTACGACAGCGTCCCAGTCCATCCGCTGCGAGCCGCATGAGCCATCCGACGACATTTGAAGCAAGCATTCGCGCAGAGCGTCCAGTCTTGCTGCTACGGCCATGGCCGCCAGCAGTGCAGTCTTGCCTGTGCCAGGTCCACCTGTGACCTCAAGCAGAGACCCTGGCGCCATGCCTGATGCTGTATGTCTGCCTTCTGTATTCATCTTTGGGTACTGTGAGGGCTGCAAGAGGAGGTCCAAGGTAGGAAGAGTGGTGCGCGAGCGATGCTTTGGCATGTGAAGCGGCGTTGAAGGCCGAAGTGGATAAGTGTAGGAGTCAGCGTATGGATCCGATTGGCTGGATGTGTCACCCTCGCCAGCGCACTGCCGTTCGTGAGAGTGCGGCAAGCGTGGGCGCTCTTCCAGCGCCCACGGCTGCTGCT